TGACCTTGACTTTCCAACAGGTGGAAAAAAGAAAGGTAGAGAAACTGCTCTCTCTCTCTCTCTCTGGAATCCTGTTCCTTCAGCCTGTTATAAACACGTTTAGACCTTCATGTGGGTCAGAAATAACTCACTTTTCTTCGGACTTTGGTCCATGTTTAAGTTGTATATGGAGACAAGTCTCTGTCGACATCTTTAATAATGTACACATTTGTATTTATATAAACATTTCATTGACATAGAAATATTGTCTCTTTACAGAACCTGAACTAGTGTTTATTTTCATCTGTCTGTTCTGAAGAAAAGTGAGAATGTCAAATTTCAAGCATAAAGTCTTTTTTTTAATTTTCTGTATTTTTTTCTAGATTTATTTTGTGGCCATTTCTGCTTTTTGGTCAAATGACACTTGTTTCTTGGTGGGATTCTGACAGAAACAGCTCCTCAGGAGTTATCTTAGATATTCTTAAGCTGTATTCATATTTTCGTTAATATGAACGTGTGTTTCATACAAGATGTAAACCATTTATGTAGCTCACATTTATACTTTTAACTTGCTTTAGTTACTTTTATTTTGGCTAAAGGTTTGCTGTTTAAACTTTTTTGTGCTAATTTGATCTAACCTGGACTTAATGTTTGATTATTTGTGAGTAAACTTCATACGTTTTAATTTTTGGACTTAAGTAATTAATTAAGGCAAAACTGTTAACACGTTTTTGAGTTTACCCCCATTATTTAAAATTACTAAAGAGACGTGTTTTCAGTTTTATTGATGAAAGGGCTCCATCTAGAGGTAGTTAGGAGACAGTGTGAGGTGTGGGACGAACGAGTTTTGATGCTAACTCATTTTGCTAATTTGCACTATTTGGATTTTAGCTTTCTGCTTTTCGCTTACGTTATTATTTTAAAAGTTAGCGTTTGTATTATTCGGTTCAGTTTTTAGCGTTTTAGAAATATAATTGTAATAGGTATTATTGTTTTTGAAACTTACGTGAATTCAATTAAATTGTTTTGTTCGTTCTTTAAAAAAAACACGTTAAAATGCAAACAGCTAATATTTGTGCTAACATTTTCACTAACCGTCTCTCCTCTGAGGCTATTTCTTATCGTGTTTAACCATTTTTTTTAAATTTAAAGTTAAATACTTTATTACAATCGCCATTATTAAGTTAGTAATTTGTTTCCACAATTTAGAGCTATTCAGCATCCTTTTTGCTAACTATGTGGGACGTTGTTGGACTTTGGAAACTTCTGTAATTTCTGATTATCAGGTAATTCACAGGCTTCAATACATGGACACTGTATCAGTGTGGATTTTAACAGACTTGTACACAGTAGATGTACCAAATAATAATAAAATATAACAGCAGCAGGTACTTACAGGATATGAAGCAGCAGAAAAGCTGGTGTTTTCTTCACAGTTCTTCTTCTTGCTTCCTTTTTCACCAGTATCCAGACCTCGATCTTGAGAGAAGTAGGAAACTGGTCCAGACTCTGACATCCTGTTACTCAGGAACCATAGAGTGGTGGCCCATGGAGGGGGGTGAGTTTTACATCATTAGGGGCACCATTGTATTACTGTATTCCTTTTAACAGTCAGTGGAGAAGAGAGTTGAAGGAACAGGTGGAGTCAGGGTGGAATGGATGGAGACAAGTGCAGAAGGTGAAGCTAAAGATGAAATGATAATTTCAGCAGCCAGTGGTGAGACCTGCAGTGATTTCTGGGTCTGGTCCAGTAGACTGGAGGCTGAGTTGGAGGTGGAGGAGATGAAGATGCTGAGATCTTCACGGAGGGCCAGTTAAGGAAGGAAAGTGAAATACTACAGCACACCACTGCACACAACCAAATGTGACCTCTGCTTTTAACCCATCACCAAAGTGAACAGTGAGGGAGCAGTGTGGGGACGGTGCCACGTCAGAGCACCTCAGTGGTAACTTGGCAGCTGGTGGACTCAAACCTGAAGCCTTCCTGACCCATGTCCGCTTCCTTAACCACCAAGCTGCCAGTGGTACATGTGAATGAATCGCCTGGTTCATGGTACATGTCCATGAATCACCTGGTTCATGGTACATGTCCATGAACAGCTCAGTGGTTCATCCTAGACTTTGGTTGTGGCCTGGTTCCCAATATTACAGAAATTGAGTCACATCCCAGCCAAGCTTCATCTAAAGCTGGTACTCTTCTGGCCCTGCATGGGCCAAACAATGGTGTGTGGCCCAGATTCTTATGTAGCACCTGTGTTATGTGAGCAGTCAAACACTGGGGTTCTCTGCAGCGCCACTGCTTCTATTTCTGCTCCATTATCTCACTGTTTTCTATCTCACACTTATTCTGGTTCTTCACTGCACTGATTACAGTCAAGTGTTGGTGATAAGTGTGGAATGAATGTCCACTGCTGTGGTGGAACACCACCATCATCATGTAAAAATATCTGCACTTGTCAGTCAGGTCTGTTCTAAACTACACAGAGAAAATGTTCAGTTTAATGATGGAAACACTTTCAAAATAAGAAAACTACAAACATAAAAAACAGAATTATCATCAAAATACTTTAAATGAAAAAATAACTTAACAAACAAAACAACTTTCCCACACCAAAGAGAAAATCAGTGATTTTAGCTCAGACCTAAGTCCATCAGTGGAAAAAGAATCAGTGATTTTAGGTCAGACCAACTATAATTATACTAGAAATATACTGTGTTGTTCCTCACTTTTACAAAATAACTTCATGACCAAGTCTGAGCACGGTGTAACAGCACGAGAGTGAACACTTGGGGGCGTCACCGGAACCTTTACAACTATACTGTTGTTGTTATTGTTGTTGTTGTTGTTGTTGTTGTTCTTATCAGTGACATTTGATTCAACACATTTGATGTGGATAAATCTGTAAACAGCTGAGTGATGTCATCATAATGAGATCAGGTGGTTCAGACATGTTTACAGCGATAAGAACGTCAGGTTGAACCAATCTGGTCTACACAACTTCTCTCTATCTCCCCCTTCCCTCCCTCACTCCCTTCCTCTCTCCCTCTTTCACTCTCTCGCTCCACCCTTCCATCTCCTCTTTTTCTGTTTCCTCCCTCTCTCACCCACCCTCCCTGTACTCCTGGCTGTGAAACCTGAACCTGGGGCCATATTTAGCCTGACTCAGGGGGATCAGTGAGGGACTGAGGGGCAGATGGACAGATGGGAGGACAGGAGGCCACTGCAGAGGATCTGTGTGAACCTGAGACGTCCTGCTGCTGATCAGCCGCTCTCTCTCTCCCTCTCCCTCTCTCTCTCTTCCTCTCTCAGTCTTCTTCTGGACTCTGATAAATTAATAACAGTCGTCCTGGTCTGTTTATTTCAGCTCAGTCAATCTCCGTGGAGAAACCTGGACGCAGCAGAGCCCGGAGGACGTGTTGGGGCCCACAGACCAGGTTAAGGTGAGTCCTTCTAGACCTGATGACTCCAAACAGGATCATGTTCTGGAACTTACTGCTGTTTTTTTGGTTTTTTTTATCGGTCCTGAATTGTAATTCTCAGTTTGTGTGTTACTGACAGACGTGTGTGTGTGTGTGTGTGTGACAGGAGCAGAGGAGGTGATGAGAGGTGTGATGTCACAGTTCTGGTGAACCACATGGGTCTCTAATAGACACAGACTCACTGTTCTTACTGTTGTCTGTGGAGAAGTCTATGTTTGGACAAAACATTACAACGTTTTTTGTATGTAATTATGGAGGTATCTAAACAGAGTGTTGAGACAACAAAGAAATAATAGTATTCATTCAAAGTTAGCCTTAACTACATAAAAGTTAAAAAACAATAAACATTTTGCAATCTCAGGTAAGGAAGAAAGAAAAGATAAGAAATAAAAATTAAAAAAAAAAAATTTAAGTGACCAAAACCGTCTAGAGTGGGACTGGACAATGGAGAAAACACAGAACTTCAACCCTCACTGACTGTGTGTGTGTGTGTGTGTGTGTGTGTGTGTGTGTCTCAAGAGATTAAAAATAACAACAGCTGGTCTTCAGGACACCATGAGACGAGTCAAACACGAACACGTCAGGTTTCACAATAAACTCCACACATTTACACTCAGATGATTGGACCAGACTTTGACCACAGACTACACACAGCACTTCGGGTTGGACTGCTACAGTACTGCTACAGTACTGCAGTACTGACTGATGGACAGTATTGACCATTGAGTGTCGTATCTCTTAACAACCTGCTGATCCACTCATTGCATGACTGCTTCTCATTCGTCCATTGTAATTATCATCCTCCATATTGTTTCCATTAATGTAATATTCTTCTTTTTCCTGTTTCATAGGAATATTATTACTGATGTATTTTAAGGTTGTGGTTCTGGTTTGTGGTTCTCCAGGATGCAGGACGGGAGTTGGAATCAGCCACTCCCCTTCTCTCTGCTGCTGAAGTCCTCGGCGGCAGCAGGTGGGACCGTGGAGAGAGATGGAGGGGTGTTTTCCGAGGCCTCCTCTGACGGAGAACTCTACCTGGACTCTGCAACAGAGCTGGATTCTGGAGACGGAGACTTTGCAGATCTCACTGCCTTTCTAAGTGCAGATGAAATCAATCGTAGTCTGGACCTGGCCCGGGAGGCCTTTGATGACACTACTGATGATCTGGGAGATTGTAAGGGTGCAGCGACCCAGGAGCAGGTTCTCCAACCAAGCCCTTTAGTTCCAGTGAAGACCCAGGGCAGTGAAAACCTCCAGAACAAATCCAATCATGCAGATGATACAGTTAAATTCTCCTGCAGTCAGAACACTTCGAACCTCAGGCGAAAAGCTGCTCAGGTCTTTGGTGAAGCTCCACCCCCCACTGAGAACATGGTCTGCCACAAACCTGTCCGTCCCATCTACAAACAGGACAAACCCAGACTGATCCACACGGGTCTGGAGCTGAACGACAGAGTAGCCTCCGCCACGGAGTTCTGCAGTCGTGCAGCCACCTTCATCGAGGAGCTGTCCTCCATTTTCAGAGGTTCGGCTCATGTGGAGCAGCAGGTGGAGGAGGACTCCTCCTCTCCAGACAGTGGATATCTCTCTCCCCGGAGCCAGCGGCCGGCCCCGCAAGGCTCTGCCTCGGCTTCCAGTCAACAGGAGCAGGTGGATCCTGGTCCTCAGCCTGGTCCACCACCAGTAACAGCAGCAGTCACAGCCACGTGTCAGAACTCGGGTGGTGCAGCCACAGCTGGAGCCTTGTCTCCACCACAGTTCCTCCAGAAGCTGAAGAGTCAGGAGGTAGCAGAAGGAAGTCCAATTCGTTTGGAATGTCGTGTCACAGGAAATCCACAACCCCTTGTCAGGTGAGCTGCATCTGTTGTCAAGGTGTGATGGTGTCTGAGAGCGCCCTCTATGTTTAGATCTAGGTGCAGGAGCTACGTGGGTTAAAGTTAAGCTGCTTTCCTTTTGATTGCTAACAGTTAGCTGTCCTGTCACTGAGGAGACATCAATTGTTTTTAAAATAGTTCTGGTACTGGTTCTGCTCTTTAAGAACCGTGCTGAGGTCAGTCCAGTCAGAGCAGCAGGACATGACTGATTAGAAAACAAACAGAAAGGTCAGAAAGGTCAAACTCACCTTCATCCTGACACAGGTGGTCAACATGACTTAGAGCAGATGAACAGTGTACTGGTTCAATCCTCAGCTCCATCTGCTGGTCTTTCTGTACAGAGTTCTTCTGTTCTCCTTGTGTGTGTGTGTGTTTTCTCTGTGGTTCTTCTGGGTGGTTCTCCAGGTTCCTTTACAGTCCAAAAACCTGCAGAGTAGGTTAATGTTCACTCTAAACTGATCATTGGTGTGAATGTGTGTGAATGGACTAGAGAAGTGTCCAGGATGTGACCTCACTTTCACTGTTGACCTCTGGGAAAAGGTGGAGTGGTCTCTGATGAGAACGTCAGCTGTGCTGATAAAACTGTTCTTTCAGTAGAACTGTAAAAGGAACTGACTTCAGTCTCCTCTGTGACATTTCATATTTCCAAAGAAGCTCGACAAAGACTTTTTTATTTTGACAAGAATTTTCATATCAATCTACAGGTGTTTGTCATTTGGAGAGAATTTGAACATTTCAAAATAAAACGTGTTTCTTCCTGATAATCAATAATTGTAAACAATACATGGATGGATGGGTGGATGATTGGATGGATGATTGGATGGATGGATCTGCATTTTTTTTCCTGCGGCCTTGTACCAAAGACCTACATCCCAGGCCTAGTCCAGGCCCCAGTGGTTGGGCCCTCTACACTCCAGCACGGTGCCTGACTGTAGACCATGAACCTGTGTCCAGTGTCAGTCTCAGTTATACCTGGTGCACTTCAGGTCTACATGAGAAGGCAGCAGCCCCAGCTCAGGTCACCAGCAGACCAAAAATACTCTGCACTCTTGTTTCCAGACGTGTCAGTGTCACAGCTCACTGCAGCTCACTGACTCCTGAACTCACTTCACTCTCCCAGACTGTTACTCCTCTTCTCTGTACACCTCACTCTCACCCTGTTCCTGAATGTTGGACTTTGAGGAGCTCCTCCAAACTCCAGCTCACTTCTCCAGTCAGACTTGGAAACAACATTGACTAACAGGCTGTAAAAATAGAAAATATACAGTAAACTGGCTAAGCCGTAAACATATAGGTCATGATAAAAGGTTATGAAGGAAGACCTTTGAACTGCAGTTGGACTGTTGGCCTGATCACACTGAAAAGTTGTTGAAAACCCATGATTTCACACTGAAGTCATCAGTGAGTTAAAGGAACTCTCTGACAACTTTACCGTCTCTGTTAGCCTCAATCACTGATTTTCTCTATGGACTCTGGTGTTGGAGACCTTCACCTGTTGGACTATCATTAGTCAGGGACATAGGTGACAGACTGGAGTTGATGGTGTAGAGATTTCTGAGGTATGGGCCATGATTGTGGTTGGCGTCAGTGATTCTGGTGGTAGGACTGTTTTTGTTCGGACAACAGACAAACTGCAGCTCTGTGGGATGTTCTGAAGCTTCTCTGTCAGAGAGCAGTGAGGTGATGAAGATGATAGTGATGAAGATGATGACGAGGGTGGTGAAAAGTCTTAAAAATCTATCTGCCCCGTCCCCTTTTCCCCTCCAGCCCCTGTCTCTCCCTCCTCTCCTGTGGTTGTATTAATAGTCCTCAGTCCAACAGGAGCCGGGCTCAGGAATGTGGCCAATGCAGTGAGCAGGACTGTTTTTGACAGTCCCTCTGCTGCAGGCTGCTTCACAGCTCAGACAGACACTGACTGCTGTCTCCACCACATCAGTCAGAAACATTTAAAATAAGATTTATTTATGTTCCAACATTAAATACCAATCAGTCATTTAAACAACTATTTAAAAACTAATAATTACAGGTTTTGTATGCCTGTTGGAGTTTTGTTGTTATTCTCTCTGTGGGCTTGTGTAAAATATTTTAAAATAATAAGGGAACATAATGTAACAAAACTAATTAAAATACCAATTTATTGTGTCCCCGTGGTACAATGACAATACAGACCATAAATAAATAAATAAGAAATAAATCTGCATATAAATAATGAATGAATTCATAACACATGAGGTATGACTCACTTCCTGTGGTGACTTAGGGCTGACACTAGGTGGCAGCAGATTTACAGTTTTAAAACGTGCCGCTAAATTCTGAGTCCTGTTGTGGATCTGTTTATAAAAATCGTTAAATATCGAGTGTCCAGACGGTGTTGGAGGGAAAAGATGAGATAAGGGGAAACGGAAATCCAAGTTAAGGCATGAACTAAAGTTAGACCAACTGAGAGTCCAGCCATGAAGAGCAGCTCAGGTCAGGGGTAGAAAATGCTGGACACACAGTTACATGTTGATGTATGTTTGTGGACACTCCTCGTTGGTTACACTAGTCTTTACTGGTCCGACTAGGACCCTGCTGGGTGTGGTCCTCGGTCTGTGGTTTCTGGATCAGTCAGCTTCAGCTGCAGAGTCTTATGGTTTTGAGCAGCTGGAATTTTTCTGCAATGCTCTGTTTGTAGTTTGTGTGTGTGTTTGTAAGTGTGTGTGTGTGTCCTCTCCTTGTAGGAACCACTTGGTGCATTTTTTCAGACTGAGCTCATTCTGGACTTTCTGCCCTGGTTTTGGGTTCAGAGGAGTAGACCTCAGTGTTTAGAGCCTCTCCAAACACAACTGCTGTTGTCAAGTTTGCTCTGCTTTGGTAAAGTCTGATGGTGGCGCTGCTGAACACCCGACTCTCTGCGGAGAGACTGATGACGTGTTTGCCAGTGTTTCAGAGTCTGATCTGGGCTCTGGTCCGATCTGGACTGTGGTTTTCTTCATCTAAGTGTAAAAAAAAAGAAAAAAAAAGGAAAATGTTTCCACAAAAGCAGTGATTTCTGAGTTTGGGGTCAGGGATCTTTACGCAAACGATTTGTTCTTAATGTTCTGTGGTGGAATGGCTGACGTTGGCGGCAACCGTTCTGAAAACATTTCCATTCAGACCAGTGACAGGAGGGACCGGTTGTTCTGACAGGAACCTCTGTTGGTGGACTAACTTCAGAACTTCAGCCTCCTTCAAATTCCAGGTCTTCATCTTCCCACAGAGAATTTACAAGGATGCGTGTTGTGTCTTTAGCTCAGCAGAAGAAGCCACAAACATTTCCCTGAATCTTTTCCCAGAATTCTTCACAGGAGCATTCCTGTCTGCTTCCTGACTGGGATGTAGGTGGACAGACCTGGTCCAGGTCCATGACTCTTTAGTCACATGGACTCTTTTGTCTGTTTCAGGAAAAGGTTGTGAATAAAAAAAATCCCTGGTGGATTAATTTGATCTCAGCAGGAGGAGGAAGAGGCCGGAACGTCAGGAATTCAATACCTGCTGCTGGGCTTTTCTTTCCTCTCTGCCTCTGACTAAAGAGAACATGATGTCATTTTATAGTAGCAGCTTTTAATACAGAGGGTGTGTGTGTGTGTGTGTGTGTGTGTTTATTGCGTTGTGGGGACTGAAAGAACATTCCTAAAGTATTAGAACATGATGATGGAGGAACTGAAACCTTTGGTACCAGATGGAGGTTCTGAGAGTTGACGTGAGGTTGTTACTCTGACGTATGGTTCAGTTCTCACTGTCCTGGGAACAACACCCAGAGCAGACTGTCACGTGTCACTTCCCAAATGTTTTTATGGACCATGTCTTTGTCAAAAACGTGGCCTACATCTTGTGTTACAATGATCTATTTTGGTTTCCTATAATGTCATCAAATCCTCAATTTTGTCAGTTTATTATGATGATAAGGGTAATTCTATTTCATATCAATAAAATACACCTAACAATCCATGTGTCCAGAACATGACCCACATCATGCATCCAAGTATCAAAAGGTAGGCTACAGCCCAGTCAGACTAGCTGCTACCTAACCTCTGTGCCATAGCAGGTCTGAGATGTTGGCCCTTGGAATGTCCAGTTCCACTTGTCTTTGTTTGTTTGTGAAACAATGACATGCAGAAGAATTAAATACTCTTCCAGTAGGTGGCAGCAGATGGCTATAAAACTAAAAAAGAGACTGAGAGCAGATGAGAAAAATGTATTTATCTTTCTTTAATTCCTGTGGGTTCATCCGTGTTGTGTTCAACTAAACAGCTATGGGAACATTTTTCACTTACCCTGAGTAAGACATGTTAAAGATTTAGTTAGAGTTAGAGTTAGAATAGTTAACGTTAGGACGGGTGGCTGGAGAATATTTAATGTCTTTGTCAAGTGCTGACAAAACACCACACCTGTGTGTGTGGGTGTGTTTATTCAAGAGCAGAGCTGTTGGAGTGCTTTGGTCTGTTTAATGGAAAGCAAAACTATTCTGTACATAAAACTGGGTCACACTGGTTTGACGTCTACAAAAAAGTGGGTCAGTGTGAATGAAAAGACTCCTATCCAGCTGTAAAACACACACACACACACACACACATTGACATGTTGTGGGTGGTATTCCTCAGTGCTGTGTTGATGGCACTGATGTCAGATGAGTCTCAGTGACAGTGGAGACTGGCTCAGTGTGAAGGTTCACCACTGAGGTGAGACTTTTCCTTCTTGTCTTCCACCTTGGGAGACAGGAGGTTGCTGACATGGACATGGACACACACACACACACATACACACGTGTCCCCTCATATCTGCTTACACATGTTCTTAATGACCCCCTCCCCATACCAAAGGCCACAAAAAAATCACTGTCTTACTTTAACACGGTTGCTGGTCCACTGCTGCCTCCTGTGTTTATTGTGTGGTGGATCAACAACTGCTGTGTCTCCGTCAGCTAAAATCGTTGATGAGGTTTGGTATGGGAGAGTTAGTGGTTGGTAGTTAATCGGTACCTTTCAGGCTCCATTTCCTGGTACTGTGAGATGGTGACTGACGTTTTTGTCTTTCATGCTCTGAACATCAGAGCATATCAAGTTCTCCTCCCTGTAGAGCAGAGACAGTTAGATGAATATGGTGTTCTTCATATATAGACATGTGTTCAGTATGTCAGTCAGTTAGGGTGAAAACATTCAACATTAAATATGGAGATCAAACTATCAGTCTTCATGTTCCTACATTAATATTGTTGTTACTTTATCATAAAAAGATCAGTGGATAAACACAGCTGCTAACATTTATGTGCTTAGCTAATGTTTTTCCATTTATGGCTAAATGTTTGTTTTATGTTTATATGTGGAGAAAATTGTCTAGAAATTGTCACTATAAAAACCTCTGTGCTAATCTTTAGCGTCCTCCAGGCTAACATTCAGCTTCTTTTGTCTATTTGGCTGAAGTTGTGTGTGTGTGTGTGTGTGTGTCACAGCTGTCACATTATCTGTGTCTAATTGTAGTTCCCTGGACGTTTCTTCTTCTGTGGTTTCTTTTTCTGCAGCTGTGATTCCACAGCAGCTGAAAATCTGCCTTCGTCATCAGACCAACATCATCATCATCTTTATCGGTCTACAGACTGACAGGACAAAAGAAAATACCAAATAACTAACACTAACACTGGACTGGTGGAGTCAGATGATCTGTGGGTGGCGCTACTGAGACCCCACCAATAATCTCATCTTGGTGTTAATCAGGTTGACGTCACTGACTGGGTGGAACATTTATGTTGCCAGTGTCAGTGTCTCTCTGTCTCTGTCTCTCAGTCCCAGACAGCTGCTCCCTCCCACTCTCCCACTCCTCAGTCTCCCTCCCCCAGGTGCTGCAGACTGACTGTTCTATTTAGACCCTGACCTCTGTGGTCTATTTCAGTCCAGTCCAAGTGGACTCCTTCTTGGTTCTGCCATGTGGTGTTTATTAAAGGGAGAGTCAGTAAATGGAGCCCCCTGACTCCCCTCCAGTCTTTGTGTTCTTCTGTCTCACTGTAGTCCATTTGTGGAACATTAGACTTTATTGAGCTCTGTTGTCTGTGATTTCCATCACATTCGTGCTGCTGCTGCTGCTGCTGCTGCTGCTCCACTGCTGATCCATCACTGAGTTCATTGAAGTTACTTTGTAGCAAAAATCAGTGATTTTCTCCATGAGGTCTGGTGTGGGAGGGTGCGTGGTTTTAATCACATCCATCATTGATTATAGACGTGCATTATTAGCTTGGTCATTGGCAGCCTACAGGGGGCGCTCAAGTAGAGTTAAACCATATGTGTAAACCCTCTGTCTCCTGTGTGTGTATATGTGTAGTTCTGGCTCCTCCCCCCTGCCTTCTGTCCAGTGTGCATGAGAGTGTGTGTTCAAGTGTCAGGGTCCAATAGTATGTACTTAAGTCCAGTTAAATCTGAGTGTAGTCTGACTGTACAGTAGTCTCTTCTTCAACTGAAGGTGAGTGTTTCCATGGTGATGGACGGTTAGATCAGAAATTCTGTGTGTGTGTGTGTTTATGAAACAGCAGCTGTTTTTGACTGAATCTGTCAACATTATTATTTACTTATTTTTTTCATACTGTTTTTGTCTGGTTGATACATTTGAGTTTTATGCCTAAAAACATTTTGAAAGAATTTCGAAAATGTCAGGTGATAAAAACATCAGTTTCATATATGCATGAGATGGAAAACAAGAGTAGAATATAATAATAATAACAATAATAATAACAATGATATATAATAACTGTTATTATTATAATTGATATTATTATTATTTATCATTTCAGATAAAAGAAAAACTAGAAAATGTGTGTGAATGTGTGTGTGTGTGTGTGTGCGAAAGAAAACCAAAATAGTGACAGACATGTACAACAGCTGAGCTACAAAACACACCTTAACACACAAGAGGGGAATTCCTATGGCACTCACACACACACACACACACACACACTTTTATTGTTGGCTTTTTTTTTTTAACTAAATCCTTCCTCTGGGATTTGGGGGGTGATTTTGTGAAACTGGAGAAACTGGGTTTAATTGTGCCTAGTAGGAATAAAAGACATGGAGAGATGAAAAGCAGGAACCTCCATCAGTTAGAACTGGGGATTGAACTGCTGACCCTCCTGCTATAATGAATGAACACTAACCACTTTACCGCCATGTTGTGCTCAGTCCTGAAACATTAGAAAAACAGTGCTGACGTCCAGAGGGACACTGGAACTGTTTCGTGTCTATCTGTTACTGATTCACTAAATCTCAGTGATGTCACTCAGTGATGTCACTCAGTGATGTCACAGTCAGTCTTGTCCAAGTCTAGACCTGTGTCAGACTGTTGTTTGTTGATGGAATCATGGGACTGCTACAGGAGAATATGGCAAGTCGTTTTAACATTTAATCGCTTAGTTTGACTATGTGGAATTAACATTGTTGATATCAATGTCTTTCCGACTGGGCGTAATTTCATTTAGGATAGTGGGAATTGTCATTTGAGATATCTGTAACGTAATTTGACCAGATGAAACAACAGTTAGAGACCTTTCTGCTGTTGCTGCTGCTTTGCCTATGACTATCCCAAACTCCAGCTGGAATTTGGGATAGTCATTTTGACTAGTCAGAACAGAATTCAAGATATCTGAAAAGAAGCATGTAGATATCTTGAATTGAAGTGAATTTGAGTTGTGACTAGTCAGAATCAAATTGTAGATATCTCAAACTGGAATTACAGATATCTATAATTCAGTTGCAGATACTGTATCTGTAACTTACGTTGTGAATATCTGTAATTATGAAACCTGTACAAATGAATGGCCAAGGTGACGTCATTTACCCTGGTAAAAACACAAAGGTTTTCAACATGAGCTCCAGGACCCAGGGTTGTCTCTCTGTACGTACTGAGAGGGTCATGACCTTCTTGATTCAACAGTTCTCTAAATAAACTACAGCTTAATACCAGCTTTCAAGTTAAATGGTACTATACTTTTGTTTATGCATGTAGAACTAAGTAGTGAGTACCAAAAACACAGCCTCTAAATTCATAACTGGATTTTGGATAGATAAGGGTTCTTCAAAGTGAGATTAGAGATACAGAAATACTCATCTGTGCTCAGTTCTGAAGTACTTACAGTACAACTCTGTCATGAACAACAAATACTACACAGTAGTAAAGACGACGGTGATGTCATCAGTTTGTAGCCATGGGTTCAGAGGACGAGGTTAGAGGAGAGGTGAATGTGGTTCCAGGAAAACTGAGACACACCAGAGCCTGAGGGCAGTGTGTGTGTGTGTGTGTGAGAATCAACCCTATATTTATGTTCAATTATTCTCCTCCTGTCGTCTCCTCCTCCTCTAATACCATTTTATTCCTTCATCCAATGATTCGATGACTCAGGGATTATTCTGTCTGTGGTTTTGAACAATAAAAACATTTTCACTTCAGTCGTTTGGCAACAGAACACAGTTGTGTTCGGAGCCAAGTTCAGATCTGAACCACAGACAGTGATACTGAGGCCAACATTTATGTTCATCATCTGATCAGAAATCACAGGTTCCTTTGTCAAAGCGTCTAGACTGGGACCTTCTGAGTCAGCAGAACATTTACAACACTCATTCATTCATTCATTCATTCATTCATTCATTCGTTCATTCGTTCATTCGTTCGTTCATTCATCTCCTTCAATAAAACCCTTTTCAGGATTGCTGTGGTGAGTTGTGGGGTTTGTCAATCATTGCAGGATAGAAAAGAACAACAGAAGTCTTTAATGGGTGTTTGGGGGTGCATGAGGGTTCTAACATAATTAAACTCCCACATATTCAAACACACATTCATGGACTGAAGCAAAGGTGAATATATTCTATTAAATCATCCTAGCCTCCCACCTTTAGATACACTTTCATGTATCTGAAGGTTAGCCAAGGAAAAGCTAACGCTTCACACACATTAAACATGTTCATGTTTGATACAAAGTGAACTGAGCTGACCTTTACTCACCAGGTGGTTCTGTGAAGGTCGTGAGCTCCACAACAGTCCTGACATCCAGATCTGGAGAGACGGAGACCTCCACACCCTCGTCATCGCTGAGGCCTTTGAGGACGATACTGGACGATACACCTGTGTGGCCTCCAACAGTCTGGGAGCCGACAACACGTCTGCTGAGGTCTACATTGAAGGTCCGGCATCACTGACGTCGTGTGTCTGTGGTTTGGTCTTTCTGTGTCTGTACTGTCAGTCAGAACCAGCTGTGCTTCTGTCTGTGTTCCCCGCTGCAGGAGCCTCGTCCTCCGACTCTGAAGGAGAAGGATCAGTGTCAAAGTCCAGATCAGGATCAGAAGCCATGTCTCAGTACGTGACCCTCTGACTCTGTGAACTTTCAAAACTTCAGGTCTTTGACTTAGTGTGTAGCTCTAAAGACACTTAGCATAGCATGTGTTATCAGTTAGGCTAAGCTGACCCTACTAACACCCTCAGCCTCTCTTCTTCTTTGGTCTTTACCAGCACAAATAAGTCATGTGAGTGTTATTACTGCCACCTGGTGGTTCTCAACAGATAAACAAAAAATACAGAGAAAAGGTTGAAACACATTGAAACACATCCTGTTGCAGTGCACATGAACAAATAATCAGTATTAACTTCTGTGGCTCCTTTAATGTTGCCTCAACCACAGGAAAGTTTAGGGTTAAAATAACTATAATTGTTAAACCTTAGCTCATTGATTGGTACAAATAATTACCTTTTTGACAGACATAGACATAAGAAGCACAACTGCTGATCTGTAGATTTAGTAAAAGTCAAACATGTGACATTGTCTTGGTCATCAGGGTTCAGAAAAAAACCACCTCCATGTCTTTAACAATACGATCGTCCTCACCTAAGACTCCAGAGAGCCTCCCTCATCGATCCACCCTGGTCCAGGCCCTGTCTCAGCCCACACAGAGGGTAAGATGCATTATTCTGGTCATCTTAGTCGTATTCACTCCTTCTCCATCATGTGAATCACCTGTTAAAGCTATTCAAATCTGTGGTTTTAGCTCACTGACCAGAGTCCAAAGAGAAAACCAGTGATTTTCTCTCTCAGAGACTCAACAGTTTTTGATTCACTGCTGCTCCAACATTGAGTTTAAATGTTTTATTCTGTGACTTTACTGAAATATTTTCTTCCTATTTACCTAACTGATTCAATCTGACAACACAAGGCAGCAGTGGACCGAGGCCAAAATCACTGATTTTCTCTGAGGACTTGGTCTATGAACTGTAACAGAAAGTTTTTAAACTTTTCATCTCTTTAGGTTCAGAGTCCTGTGTCTTCACTGATCAGCTATGACACATCAGGACCCCCAATATTTACCAAGGTACGTCTACCCATGCACACACACACACACACACACACACACACACACACACAGGCCCCTTCATCAGTTCCATGTGTTGACCTTAGCAGAACATGAATGAACACAGAACTGTTCTCTGGGTTCTTGTTGTGCAGCATCTGCAGGATGCTCAGGCCTCTGAGGGTCAGGTGGTGGTCTTGGAGTGTAGGGTCCGTGGAAGTCCTCCACTCCAGGTCAAGTGGTACCGACAGGGAGAGGAGATCCTGGACTCTCCAGACTTTCGCATTCTCCAGAAAAGTAAGAGTTTTCTCTGAAAATCATGAAATGATTTTTTTTATGATCACAGTTTAAAAGTTTAAACATTTCATTATCTTTTCTTCCGGAACCCATCAGAACCTCGGTCTGCAGCAGAACCAGGTACAGTTTCTGACCTTCGCCTGTGATCCAACGCTTTGTTTTCATCTGCTGGTTCAGATCTGTGAGCTGTTAGTTTGGTCTTAGAGGGAAACCTGACGGCAGACACACCCTGAAGCCTGAATACATACACACACACACACACACACATACACACCTGTGAACGCCAGGTGTTCCTTTCAGACTGAGTCACTGGTCTTTGAACATCTGTTTGTGACTGAACACTCACACTCGTCTGTCTACCGTCTTCATTTTGTTGACTACACTGGTGACAATTAATGGAATAGATGAGTCAGCTAAAAGTTAGCCACAGAGGTAAGAGTTCACCGGAAGAAAAGTTAATAAGAAAAGAAGAAAGAAAAGAAGAAAAGAAATAATTAAAAGATAGCTGAAATTGTATAGAGTCAGCTTGAATGGAGTTAGCTTTGAGTAAGCTAAAGGTTAGCCACCGAGGTGAGTCAAGAATCACAAACATTCTTAATGCTGCGTTCTCGTCACATTCCAGAGGAGATCTGTACGCTGGTCATCGCTGAGGCCTTCCCTGAAGATGGAGGTCTGTTCTGCTGCACCGCTTCAAACCCCTATGGTTCCATCAACAGTTCTGCCCAGCTCACTGTTACTGCAGGTGAGTTTTGCCATCACCAGGAACCAGTTGCAGGAACAGGACTGCAAGAGGGTACTACAGGGTCCCAAAGAATAAAACAAAAAAGATAAATAAGGTTTTACTAACAGGAACTAAAGGTTACCATGTGTACGGAGATGTCTGTGTTACAGGTTTGTGTTGGACCGTGGTCCTAAGGACTGGTTTGTCTCCTCAGTGTCCGAGGACTGGTCCAGTAACGGCGTCTCTGTCTCTGGGGAAAGTTCTGGGTGTGAAGACTCAGCATCTTTCCCACCTCCTCCTCCACCCACAGAGCTCCCCCTCCTGGAGCTGTCCCCCAAAACTCTCCCTCCTTCTCCACCTCCTCCTGCAGCTGCTGCTCCTGAGAACCTTCATGTAAAGGAGTTGGAAATCTGGCCCAGTGTGTCTGCTTCAGCTGGGGTCCAGGTGGGCTCAGAGGGGGACCAGACCAAAGAACTGGTCCAGAAGGGACAGTCCTCCAATCAGCCATCGCCTCCTCCACCTCCACCGCCTCCCCCAGTGACACTACAGGCTGATCCTGCAGCAGAAACCCAGGCCCAGAGTCAAGCAGTTCAGGACTCACCTCCAGGCTCAGGGAGACCTTCTCCATCTCCAGCCAAAGATGGTCCTCCGCTGCCCACCAAACCTAAACCGAAGCTGTGAGTACCTGCCGTCTCGAGTCAACACTGGATAAATTAACATCATTAATATGCATCACTCACCTCTTACATCAAGCACTTGTGTCGTGGGGGGTGGCGGGTACTTCCCCCAGGGGAAGCCCTCTGCCATTGGTCGGCCAATTCTTCTGCTTCAGTTAGCGGTGGTGGAGTTGGACCTGAATCTTTTTTCTTATTGTTTTATATGGATAAGACTTAAACAGATACTAAGCACACATTTGAAGAGATGTGTTGCCTTCACAGACGCAGCCACAGATATGGTGGCAGAGTGGCTTAGAGTAGACAGAGCTGTGACTTAAACTTTGTGAGAAACGTTTGAAGAAACGGACCCCAGGTCTGGTGAAGTGGTCATGTTGTGGATTCTGTTACGGAGGTGGAGAGGTGGAGAGGTGTATTTGTGTGTCAGCAGCCTGATGTTTACACAGACTCAGATTTTATGGTTTATGGAGTGAAACCGTGTTTCCACAACAACAAACACCGAGAACCAGCCTGGGACTAACTCAACTCAACAGTACTGTTCACTGATAACATTCTAAAATTGTTGAACTCATTTTTCTCCCACATCCTTTTTTTAATATAACTGAACCATTTCATTTGAACACACAGAGTGCATTAGTTCCTGCTACTGTTATAAGGACTTCACTTTAATTCTACATCATTTTCAGGCTCCATTTCAGCTAAGTTAACAATTTTGGCATCAGATCTATTTTGTCTAATTAGTGCCTTAACTGGTGTACGTTATGGTTAATTATGGGATGTTTTGTTGAACACGTAATTTAACTTTCATTTGAAATTTTTTTCTTTTGTCCAACTTTTGATTATTTTAGATAAACTTTCAATAACAGCAGGCTGTCAGAGCGCAGGGGGACAAATGGTCATAAATAATGAGGCTAACAGGCAGCAGCTAACATTTAGAATCAGTTGTCAGAATAATGAACAGCAGGAAGCACTTGTGTGCATTGGCAGACAGGAGGCAGCGCTACTGCTAGAACAGGGTGGTGGGTCGGTACTAGGTCGGTACTGGGGCGTTGGTACCAGACGTCAGAACAAACATCCAGAGGAAATTCTCAGATTGTTGATCTGGATCAGAACCAAGGTCCAGTTTCACACAGACAGGAGAGTCTGTGTGGCATTTATGACCGGGCCTGGAGAAACACAGAACACAGACATGAATGAATGATCCATTTGTTTCGCTGACCAATAAACTGACAGTTGAACTGAAGGTGCAGTATAATAATGTTCTAAATATTATATATACAGTATATAATGTCAACAGAAATAGTTAAGCATTAAATATAATTTAAACCTAAAAAAGTCAAATATTCCAGACTAAACTAAAACAAAAATACTTGTTTGACAATAAAAAGATTGAACCAATTGCAGAAAATACTGTGGAAAAATACACACAAAACAGCTAAAGGTTAGCCAAGAAATTGTCTGCCTCTGCCCCAAAACTACCTTAAGGTTTGTTAAGTTATGTAATCCATAATACAAAACTAAGGCTTTCCAAAACAAATCCACACCCAGTTTACACAAAAATAAATGGGTGAAACAAACAGGATGTCTGCAGACCCTTGGGTGTCCGAGGAGGTGGATGTTTGTATGAACCTCCTCCTGGACTTAATCTGAGGAGATCCCAGATTAAAACCCATCTCTTTGAGTAAAATGTAGAGTAGAATAGAATAGAAAAGTCTTCTCCAGAGTCAGATTCTTGTGTTAGTTCCAGACAGAATCAAAAGGAGGAACAAGGATAATTGCTGTCTTGGTCTGAGTGTGTCTGCTGTTTGATTCCCACCCAGGAATTATCTTCACCTATAATCTGTAATGTGAGTGATAGAAGCGGCAGCAGCAGTGCCATGGTGGTCTTCCACTCTCTTCTATCTGTTCCATTTTCAGCGACCTTCAGTTTGAACAACATTCTTTGCAGCTAGTGTATAAAACTCCGACACAGGTGATTGATGTTCTACATTTATGTTTCATGTTGGTCTGGCTAAGAAGTAGATATTTATACAAACTTTAAACTTGTTTTCTGTCATCGCTAACGTTCAGACCCAGGATTGGGTCTGAAGGACCAGGAACTCAGTCAACCTCAGAGTTTGGTTCAGCTCCAAATGACTGTAAGTGCAGAGAAGATGCTGCTGTCAGGGAAACAGAGTCAACACTGAAACACAACACAGAGCCTCTGTTCAGGGAGGTGGAAATGCTGTCCCGCTCACCAACATACAGTCCTGGTGATTAAACTAGCTCGTTAGTTTCATTAGTGTCATAAACTGCACAAATACAACAGAAATATGTTGGTCAATTACACTGTCTTTTAGCTTGAGCTAACTCGTAGTTCTTTTAGCTTTTCTCTCATTTTTCACACGCTGCCTTTCAGACATTTGGATCAAACAGCTCCAAAGAATGTAACGAACTGAAATAAAACCACAGTTTGATTTAAAAACACAGATAGTTTAGTGTCATCTGCTGACTCAGTAAATGTTCGTCTGCCTCGGTGTGTCACATTTTTGAGCCCTGACTCACAGCTTCCTCTCAGCAGGCAGCTGCTCCCCCAGCTCCACCACCTCCTCAACTCCCTGACCCAGTGTTCACTGTCACTTTCTGATGGTTTGAGCTGTGTGTGTGTGTGTGTGTGTGTGTGTGTGTGCTTCTGGTACAGCTGCACTTGTGGGGACATGTTGCAGTGAGAACCAGAATTGATGAGGTTGAAGATTTAGTTTGGAGATAAGACCAGAATTAGACTTAGGAAAATGATTAAGACTGACTGAGTCTGTGTCAACACCAGTGTCTGTGTGTGTGTGTCCATACCTGTTGTTGACCACCACTGTCTCTCAGATCAGGGTTCCAGTGTGACCACAGTCTAGATGAAGAACATCAACACCAGTTCCTGGTCTCACACCTGCAGCCTGGGTCTGTTAGCCCCGTACTCCAGCAGCACCAACCTGTCATGTGTCAGTTGTGTTTTAGCGGTTCATTAGCACACAGCTATTGTTACTAGTGTTCTAGTAGGTAGCACATTAGTGGTTTGTTAGCGGTGTGCTAGTGTGTAGTGCGTCAGCAGCTTGTACGTACCATATTTTGACTCTTCACCAATGCTTAGCCGTGCTAACCATGGTAACTTCTTCTTCTTCTTTGGTCTTTACCTAATGCATGACTGTGTGATTGACAGCTAGGATGAATGAATTAGGAAGTTGTTTGAAGGTGAAGTCTGTGCACTTCCTGGTTCACAGAGGTCACCTGCAGTGAGGCTCCCCCCACATTTAGGAGTCTGAAGATTTTAAAGGATTTTTTAAATCAAGTCTTTTTTTTATTCTCAGTGACGTGATCAGTGGCTTCAGTCAAAGAAGGTGAAGTTAAAGTCACACGTTAACATCCTCCTGTGTTTATTAAAGTCTGAGATCTGGGGGGAAAGGGGGAGGAGGAGGACTTCACAGTAGAGACAGAAAAAAAGACAGTAAAAGAGAGAAAAGCAGATGAATTCACATAGTTCTCCATGGCCTACAAAGAGAAGCTCCTTATATGGGCATGTAGGTGGAGTTTGGGCAGAACTGACGTGGGATTGGCCACTGAGCTCAGGCAGACCAGTGAGGATCAGAGAAAGTTTCCAAATAAGGAAGAGAGCTGTCAGAGCTGACCTTCATTCAAGAAAAAAAACAGTGGGAGAAGAGAGGGAGGGGGAGAGGGGAGCTGGAATGACAGGATGGAAACTCATGACTAGAATTTGCAAAATACTGGTGCAACTAGTAACTAGTCATGGCACATACACAAGAAGAATAAGTTTAATCTTAGCTAAAAACAACAATCACACTGAAAAAGAATGTTTAAAAAAGTAAAAGTAAAAGAATTGCTCCGATAAACAAACATTGTTACAGCATCATTTATAACAACCACGGCTAATTAAAAGACTGCTAACAGCTAAAAGCTAGCTTTCATAAATAATGTAATTAGCTAAAACAACATCTGTGTTGTCAACATCTGTTCAACTGTCACTGATTGGCTGACACGTCTGTGAGTCACACACACCCTCAGAGACCCCAGACTGGACTAGACCAGACCAGGAGGACCCTGGTCCGTCCTCCCTGTGACTCATCAGCCCAGCTCTCTTCTTCTCTCAGTTTTAAAAATACTTTTTTCCAGAAATAGAAAATGATAAAAAAGAATCCTGGGATATTTCTGGGTGGGCTCACAAACATCAGGTGAATTAACCACAACTGAAGCTTGACGTTAACTGTAGCTAATGTTTATGTTCTGTTTCATGTTCTGTTCTGTTTTTCAGTAATGCTAGGTTAACATTTAGCGTCTTCTAATATCTTATTTTTTACCTTCTTTCTTATTCTTTTTATTCAATTTTTAAACTTTTTAGACTCTCACTGTCACCAGTTAATCCTCGACTCCATAGGCTAGCTCTTAGCTGTTCAGTAGCCACTGTAAGTCTTACAGGTCATTTTTCCATACAGTATTTATGGCTGTTTTTCTATGTGTTGTCATCTCACTTTATTGATGCTAACATTTAGATCTGTTTTGTCTTTACCTGAGTTTTGATTATTCATTGGCTAAAGTGCCCAGTACTGTTTGATCCTGGCACCGGTTCCTGTTGTGAAAACTCACGTCCTCTGGTTTAAATGCTGCTGACTGTTAATGTCAACAGTCCAGCGTCTGAAGCACAGAGCTCTTATTCTGAAAAGAGCTACATGTCTGAGCCTTTATTCTGAAGGGGCGGGGCACAAACAGTGAGGACAGAGAGTGAGTCAGAGACAGAGTCTCAGAGTCAGGGTATAAAACCAGCAGACACCTGAAGACTTCAGATCACACACACACACATTCGTCTTGCAGGGAGACACCACGGCTGTGCACACTCACGTGCACTCTGTCTCTCATACAGCTTCACATCATCTCTGAAGGTAAAAGAAAACTTTTATTTCACTTCTTTTTTGCTTAAATTCTACTTCTGGAGATGAGAGTTTTAGGTTTAAAAATGTTGAAAAACCTTTTCAATCTGCAAAATATAAAACAAGGAGGCAGCTTTAACGGTGGACCAGTGAGGTATGAAGTCACTAGTCTGTATTTATAGTTTCTTTCTGCTCGGGGTTCAGGCTTGATTTTCATAAATGTGCTGCTCAAAGGTTGAAATGAGGGAGGAGGAGGAGGAGGAAGGACAGAGGTGGAATCTGAGCTTTTCCTGGAGGAGCAGTTAATGTTTAAATCACATGTTGTTAGAACCAACGCGTGGTTCCACTGGAGGAACCGCTCATTTACAGACAGACACACAGATAAAGTCTGTACTTTTCTCTGACGGATTAGTTTTCACAAAAGACTTTTTTCTGCTTCAGCCATTCTTAAGCCTTCTGTCCCTGTTTCCTCCTCCTCCTCCTCCTCCTCCTGCTGCTGCTAATCCCATCTGATGGCTCCGTCCTTCTCACTCCAATCCCAGGGAAGAATGTCTGCAACACTGAAAACTGGAACTCTTCAGCTCCATTGTTGAACTCCATAGAAAAGCTCCGTGATTAAAGACAGAGCTGCTGGTCCACCGCTGCCTCCTGTGGTAAAATCACTGTACTGCTCAGTCAGTTTACTGGACCTGGTAAAGTGATCGATTGTCAGGGAAACTGGTTCACCTGGTGACATACTCTTTTTCCTTTGGTTCCAATTCCTGGACTTTTTATATAGAACTGAGTTTGAAAATGTTGGAGGAGGAGGAGTGAGGGCTGATGGATGGATGGAGGTACGTGGAGAAGAGCAGGCCTCTCTGCTCTACTCTGGACATGAAACATGAGCCGTGATAGAGACGGAGGTGGGGGGATAATAGTGTAGAGAGGAGAAAAGAGAAAGTAGGACAGAGACGAAAGAAAGAAAGAAAAAGAGAGACGTGCTGCAGCTGAAGCTGGAATTAAAGAAAAACTCCTCTGTGCTGTGTTTAAAAAGGGGGGGGGTAAGGAAAACAGTCTGGTTCTGTTTTATGTGGTGTGTGTGCAATTAGAGAGCAAAAGGGGGAGGGAGGGGATTGTAGCGGAAAAGACGAGAGAAAAAAATGTAAAAGACAAAAAGAAGTTTCTGTTTTTTCAAATATGTCAGTGGTGAAATGTTGAAAAACTGATGGTCCAGTTCACATGGTCCAGTTTGGATTTTTCAGGTTTTAATCACAACCTGTTTGGACCTCTGTAACTCCAGTAGAGAAGGTTTCCAAACACTGGTTGATGTCCCTACATGTAGACGGACACCTGTGTCCATCTCCTGGTTCTGCTCTGTGTTTGGTCCGTGGCTTCAGTCAGTGCTGACGAGCCATTTGTCTGTTGTCACTCGGCATCATGGGAAAACGATGTACACACAGCCTGGTGTTTGACTCAGCACAGAGGGAGGTGTCAGCAGTTTGTCAGACGCCAGCAGTCAAAAACTCTGACGTGTGGGGAGGGGGGCAGCAGACGGTGACTCCCCGCCCCCCCCAGTCTCACAGCTCCTCCACAAAGACAGACGTCCTGTGTCTCATGTCATGACTCGTCAACAAGCAAGGACATTCTGGATGTGAGAGGGGCTTGTACTGCACACAGGAATGTACTGCCACAGGTTAATGGACACAGAGGAAGTGGACTAGTCCACAGTCAGAGCCTGGTCCTCTTATCATGTGGCTCATCTTCAAAACAATCCTGTTCCTTTAATGGTGAGGATTTGAACCCTCAGCCAGTCTTTGGTCTGGAACTCGTTTGTTCCTCTTTGTTTTCTACATGAAAACAGTCAATAAACAGTTCTGAGAACAAGAACTTCATTAAAGAAGTATTTTTACAGCTTGGCAATGCAGCTGAAACACTGCCCCCTGCCAGACTCCTAGGGAATTTAACGAGGTGCATCTTGTTCTGATAAAATCCTGGCGGTCCAAACCTGGATGGTTTGGTGATCCCCTTCAGTGTTCGTTCTTCCTGAGCAGGAAAAACCTGAGGGTCAGATAGAAAAGTCTAGAAAGAACAGAGTCCAGAGGCAAACAGGAAGTCAGCAGAGGGACAACAGGAAGTAGTTGAGTGTTGGTGGTTAACTAATGAGAGGTTTCCTTCTATAAACACAGAACACATGAGGAAAACCCAACATGTGTGTGTGTGTGTGTCAGCATAGAGTAAACACTTTGGTCTGATTTTCACTGAGGAGGAAGGGGAGGAGGTGGGAGGGGAGGAGCTGGGGGGAGGATCAGTGTCAGATGAAGAATTGTGCACCGATTGTCCAACGTCTGGAGGAGATTAGCGCACGTGAAACTTGGTGGAGTCAGAATATTCTGAAGGGATCAAAGATGGAGGACTGACACGCCTTATTGTTAGGCTAACTTTAGCTAGCGTTAGCATATTTTAGACAGAGGTTTAAGGTCAGCATATAGCATATATTCTGATCCGTCTTCCTCTCCGTCTTTTTCAGGAACCTTTCTCAGCTAAAGCAGCTTCAGGACCAGATTCTATTGGAGCAGCAGCAGAGTCAGGAGGCTCCACCCACTTTACCACAGCAGCCAGCACCTCAAGAGGCTCCTCCCACTGCTCCTCCATCTCCTCCTCTTCCTCCTCCTCCCTCCTTCCAGGAGCTAGAGAATAGCAGCGCCACCATGCAGGCCAGCACCTTCAACTACGCCCGACCCAAACAATTCATTGCCGCACAAAGCCCAGACAGAGGGGGTGTGGCCTATGTCACACACTCATCAGGCTCTTCTGCATCCTCACCTCTGTCCCCGCCTACCTCCCACAAACCTTTCAGTAGGGTGACGGCGCCACCTGTCACGAAGTCCAGCAGTGCAGAGTCCCCCAGCTCTCCATCCTTCCCTCCACCGCCTCCACCCTTCCTCAGCTCCAGTAATCTGCCTTCACCATCAGGCTCTGCCCAGGACTTTCCTCCCCCCCCTCCACCTCCTCCTCCACCTCCACCTCCACCTGTCTCCATGTCTCCTGCTCTGTCAGACGTGTCTTCACCTTTCTCGTCCGTCCCTCCATCTCCAGCCTCCAGCTTCCTGTCCTCTGTGCTGCCGTCCGCAGCAGGAAGTCCCATCGTCAACGCTCTGGGTCTGCCCAAGGGCAACGGCACTGTGTGAGTGACATCACATCCTCATCGTCATCATCATCCTCATCATCATCACCAATTTACAGTTATAGCAGAAACTTCTGTCCAAACAAACACACACACGCACACACACACAGGAGTGTGTGTGTGTGCACATCAATTAATTGTACCTGCACTCTTGGTTTCTCCCCCTTGATATCACCCTCCCTCCTCCCCTTACCCCCTCACCCCCACCTCACCCCCCGCTGCAGTAAAGCATTTCCCAGAAAATCGTCAGGCTCTAAAACTCCACGCGTTGTCTCAGACTCCGACATCCAGGGATCCAAGGACGCAGTGATCCAGGACCTGGAGAGAAAACTAAGGTTTAAAGAGGAGAGAGTCAGCAACGGTCAGCAGGTCAGTGTGTGTGTGTGTGTGTGTGTGTGTGTGTGTGTGTGTGTGTGTGTGTGTTACAGTAACACCTTAACCAGTCAAAGTCACAGAGCTTCATTTAAACCATCAATAAAATCATAAAGTTCAACATCAGTGAATTACAGTCTGTTCACAGCAAACACCAGAGCCCAAATACTGTGTACACACTAGTACTGTGTACACACTAGTACTGTGTACACACTAGTACTGTGTACACACCAGTAGTGTGTAGACACTAGTACTGTGTACACACTAGTACTGTGTACACACCAGTACTGTGTACACACCAGTACTGTGTACACACTAGTACTGTGTACACACTAGTACCATGTACACAAATACAGCAGTGTCAGTTAGACGTGAAGTTAGATAAAGATGGCGCTAAGAAAAATGGAAAAACAGCTGAAATTATAGAAAAAAGTAACATACTACCAGTTAGCTTAGACGTAGTTAAGAGTTAGCCATCGGTATCAACAGACAAATGTTGACGTCGTCCAGAGAGACTGCAGTTTCTAATGTGTCTTGTGGTAAAGTGTTAGTAGTTGAACAACATCTTAGCCACGCTCATGCTAATCCTTTGTTAGCAACATGTTTGGTTGTGAACACACTCGTCCACTGGTCGGTCACATGGTGTGTGTGTGTGTGTGTGTGTGTGTGTGTAAACTGAATACACTGGTGTGAATAAGTGTATCTAAAGTGTGTGTTGGGCAACTCACACATTAACCCCGCCCCCTCTGCTGACATCATTAATCCCTGCTTCCAGAGATTAACCTATGAGGAGAAGATGGCGCGGCGTCTGTTGGGCGCCGACAACGCAGCCACTGTCTTAAACACGCAGGAGATGGAGGAGGAGACGCATACACAGGTACGGTGGACCAGGGTCAAAAATGTCCAAACCCACGTTAACAAGGTCACATGACATCAGTCACTGATAACATCAGTGACTTTACCTTATCTTATCATACGTTATTATCCTTCAGTTATTATCCATTAGCCAAGGATGGTGTTGAGGTACAAACTGTAATACACTGACCACACAAACACAACAATAACAGCAGAGGAATTCTTTATCTCTACAGGAAAAAGAAAAGTCGTCTGATGATAAAGACTCTTTCCACCAACAGG